TTATTTTGATTGGTAACAAAAGTGGGCAAAAAAAGAAGATCTCGATTTCAAAAAGTTATTTGATAAGAATTTTTAAATCATCTTACAGTAATCTTCTTCTATTCTATCAATTACTACAGTTATTATTGAAAATATTTGCCAAAAAATTTTACTGTTTACAAAGTTGATAGAAATAAAGTAACTTCTGTTGTAAACAGTGCTTTAAAATTTTTACTGATTACTTTTGCACTATCTGCAATTAGTTACAGTATAACGTTAGATTGTCAACAAAATTTACCAAACATAAAATGTACGACAAAGATGTTCATCATAAAAAAATTTTATTAACTGATTGATCATTAGTGCCCATCTCACTGATCATTATTTAATGGTAAATATTTAAGCAGAAAGAAAAAAAGAAACCAGACAGTTTTTTCAGAAGAAGATTCAAAAAAAAAAAAAAAAAATACTACAGAAAGCTCAACATTCTTCTGCTAGAGCAAAAAATTTTAACAACTGCAACGATGACAAAAAGAAAAGATTGTTCTGGAGCCAAAAATTTATTATCAATATTCAGGCACAGTAATTTTACAGCAATAAACTTGAAACTGAGAAGGATGCAATTAGTAAAGCATTCGTTTGAAGTTTCAGAAGTAATATTAATCTGTAAAATAAAGCTTATACAAAGAAAAAAAAAAGTTTATTGACAATCTAAGTAATCCTAAAAATGCTTGTCGCAACAGTAAAGAAAAAAACAAAAAGTACAGCAAAGATATGCCGATAATGATCTGTATTGCATAATATACCGTTTAAATTTTCCTGTGAAGTTTTTACTTGAATCATTAGCTGATCTGTTGAATAAACAATTCGTGGTTTATTTGCGACAATAATCAATTCAAATAGTCAAAAAATATTGATAAATAATACCATTTATAAGCAGCATAAAACTAATATTCACAAACATAAACACCTACAGATACGTCTTTGAAAACATATGCATATTTGCAGACTTTGATTTCCGGTAACGGTTATTAACGGTCAAGTTGCCGGCACATTATCGAACTGTCATATAGTGGTGCAAATGAATCTATCATAAAACAGGTGTAAAAAAAAAAAAAATTGTGCTTCAGAAGTCATGAAGGAGTTTGACGTTCTAACGTTACAGACCGCTGGCAACTGTATGAAATCAAATCGTCGCCATTACAGTATTCGGCTGTATCGCATGACTCATCGGTGTTATAGTAATTTTCACCAGCATTGCCAGTACTCGAATTCAACATCTGCGCTAAACTGTAGATGTAATTGTAGGCTAATCGAAGTGTCTCTAGAAAAAAAAAAAAACATAATAATCATTTTCGTCTCATTTTTTATCTTCCAAAAAA